TTGATTCAGCGCGGAGAAGAAACCTCCCACTCGGATTCCCGTGTGTGTTTGCTGGAGAATCTCGTGATTAAAGCTGCTTTAGATGCTGCCCGGTTATCACAAACATCTTAAAGCGAGAGCACGTCTGTCCAACGCTGCTCTTGGAGAGAAAATGGCATATCGATGCATGTTTTTCAATCCACAACTGCTGATTTCTTGAAGTGTATGTGACCACAGCAAAAGTCTGTAGCTTCGTCTGAGTGCAGTCCTGTACTGCAGAATTTCCCTACGTGTGCACACAGCAGGGAAACCCATAACATACAACACTCAGAAATCCTTGCCACTTGCAACAGACATGCAACACATGCATAATGCAACAAAGCAATGTTTTCTTTTCCTTTAGAGCCTCAGAAAACATGCTACTGTATACTAGAAAACCAAGCTGAAAAGCCATCTGCATACATATAATCCAACAAACCAGTGTTTTTCTCCTTTACAGCCTTGGAAAATGTGCAACTAGAAACACACATTTCAAAAGCACAAATTTGTGACACTTAGACATGCAATACATGCCATCTGTCATATATAATGCGACAAATTGATGTTTTTTTCTCATTTACTGCTTTGAAAAACATGCAAATACTAGAAAACACATTTCAAAAGCACAAATTTGATATGCAACATGTGTATTCTTGCTCATTTAGAGCTTCTGAAAACATGCAATACAAGAAAACACATTTGATTCTGCACCCATGTGATGCGACAAACCAATGTTTTTCTCCTGTAGAGCTTCTGAAAACATGCATTACTAGAAAACACATCTGAAAAGCACAAATTCGTGCCAATTAGACATGCAACACATATAATGCAACAAAGCAATGTTTTTCTCATTTAGAGCTTCTGAAATCATGCAATTCTTGAAAAATTGCAGACGGCATGCGTTGCATGTCTATGATGTGACAAACCAATGTTTTTCTCCTGTAGAGCTTCCGAAAACATGCACTACTAGAAAGCTAGTAGTGCATGTGAAAAGCACAAATTCGTACACATCTGAAAAGCACAAATTCGTGCACGTCTCAGACTTGAGCTGCTTATGAGGATTTAGATGCTCTGCTGATTTTCCAAGCAACATTTTGTGTGTTTGCAAATATCTAATTCTCTCCCCGCCTTTGCTTTCTTGCAGTTCTTCTTATGCTCCATCCCGATCGGCCCGTGCGGCAGCATGTGCTTGTCTGTAAAGAGGAAGTGTCTTCCGGTCCTGCAGGAGTTTGGTTTCGTGTGGCCGGAGCTCTTGAACTGCAGCCTGTTCCCGCCCACCAACGACCAGAACCACATGTGCATGGAGGGTCCGGGCGACGAGGACCCGCCGTTTCACGCCGTCCGGCCGATGCCGCCGCAGGAGGAGGAGTGCATGGCGCTGGGTGCCGGCGTGGAGCAGTATGCATGGGTGAAGCGCAGCGGCAGCTGCTCGCTGCAGTGCGGATACGACATGGGATTGTACCGGCGACAGGCCAAAGTCTTTACCGACGTGTGGATGGTGGTGTGGGCGGTTCTCTGCTTCATCTCCACCACGTTCACCGTCCTGACCTTCCTAGTGGACTCCTCGCGGTTTTCCTACCCGGAACGACCTATTATTTTCCTCAGCATGTGCTGCAACATCTACAGCGTGGGCTACATCGTGCGGCTGACCGTCGGCCGCGAGCGCATCTCCTGCGACCTGGAAGAAGCGGCTGTACCCGTGCTAGTGCACGAGGGCTTGAAGAACACAGGCTGTGCCATCGTCTTCCTCCTCACGTATTTCTTCGGCATGGCGAGCTCAATCTGGTGGGTGATCCTGACACTCACGTGGTTCCTGGCAGCCGGGCTGAAGTGGGGTCACGAGGCCATCGAAATGCACAGTTCGTACTTCCACATCGCGGCTTGGGCCATTCCCGCCGTCAAGACCATCGTCATCCTCATCATGCGGCTGGTGGACGCTGACGACCTCTCTGGGATGTGTTACGTGGGCAATCAGAACCTAGACGCTCTTACCGGTTTCGTAGTCGCTCCGCTATTTACGTACTTGGTAATCGGGACGCTGTTCATTGCCGCCGGCTTGGTTGCGCTGTTCAAAATCCGCTCTAATTTGCAAAAGGACGGGACGAAGACAGACAAGCTAGAGCGGCTGATGGTAAAAATTGGCGTGTTTTCAGTGCTCTACACAGTGCCGGCCACTTGCGTCATTGCGTGCTACTTCTACGAAATCTCCAATTGGGCCGACTTTCGCCAGTCGGCAAGGAATTCGTACATGGCGGCGGAGATGCTGCGGATTTTTATGTCTCTGCTGGTGGGAATCACATCAGGAATGTGGGTTTGGTCCGCCAAAACGCTTCACACGTGGCAGCGATGTTCCCACCGACTCGTGCACACTGGCCGAAACAATCGCGTCAAACGGACCGCCAATGGCTGGGTCAAACCGGGCAAAGGCAACGAGACGGTTGTGTGATAAAGAGACAGAGGCGCCCACGCCCATGTAGCACTATCGTTCGTTCACTTTACGTGAAATGTTCTTAAGATGATCTTACACTGGACGGTCCTGTTGCAGCAGTTTTTCCGTTTAAATATGCACTACGTCAAACTCTCACTGAAGTGCCTTCGTTTTCGTGGACGAGCTACTCAACCGATTCTGGGAAACGTAGTTCTTTACTCCTCAGCGATCAGCGCCGTTTACCTCTCAACACGTCACAGCTGCCGGAATGCTTACGAGACTTGTTAATGCTACGTTCACATCGTGTTGGATATGCGAAAAATTGAAGCAGAAAGTGTGCAATGGCATGTCAGAAGTATGTGTAGAGGTTGCTAACTAACTTTAACTGTTGACATTTTCCTGTCATTTTACGTCTTGCACGACGTCACAATGCTCAAGCGAGTTTCCATGAATGGTTTTTACAGGTCAGAAACTCAACAAAACGTGAACGCATTATAGCAGAGATTTCCTTCACTATTTAGTTAGTCTATTTTTGATATGACAAAGCTATGATGGGACTTTTTGTTTTGTTTTTTTGGCGCTGTCAGACACACATTCACTCTGAAAATGACACGTGACAATCACTGACCGTGCCGTACGGGCCTCCCGTAGGGTCGATGAATGTATTGACCGATGATAAACTCTTAAACCTTTTAAAAGTGCCTCAAAAACTCACATGCAGGTGGTACAGTCCTGGATTTCATGAAGGACTTCTGGATCCATTTGTACATAAACTGATGTTTGTAGTTGTAATGTGTTATTTTTGTGTTATGAAATGCTAATTTATCTTTGTAAAAACTAAGAAACTGAACAAAAATGAATTTATTTAAGAATGCTTTTGTATCAAATGAAAAATTAAACTTTGAAAATCAATTCCAGAGTCCATGTGCATCTTTTGTTTATTGAGGTATACTTCACTATTAAAACTCCTGTAGGTTCACACACCTTGTGACCCTAGTAAATCTGGACTATGTAGGAATTAAAGGATTGTTTGGGGCATTAGTGGCTTGACTCTTTTTTTAGGTCGTTTTAAAATTCCTCCACCCAGAATGATTTGGACAAAGATTTATCCTCCGGTCCAACTTTCCCCCTCGGGGTCACCACACCCGCCTCAGGGTTTCTTGTAAGACAATGTCAGATGGTTTTAGCTCTTTCATGGGTGGTTAGTCTTGAAATGCTTTAATACGCTGAGTGAAACTAAACATAGATATAGGCTACATTATCAATATGGGAATTTTAAATGACCATGTTTCATGACCCAAAACATTTGCATAGTCGGGTAAATGGTCAGTTTAGAATAAATACCTGTTTTTATCTAATGATTGTGGATTAAAATGTTTCACAAAAGTCACATCACTCAGTTTCTAATATGATGCTGCTCCCTACTGGTCATTTGAAGCACTACAGATAAACCTATTACAGAACAACAGACTTTTGCAGTGACATGCAATGAAAATTACTTTTAGATTTGTGTTGCATCCCTTTAAAAATCACCAGATTTTATTTTCAAATGTATATCTTTATATAATAAACAGCAATAAAGTAAAATTTTGAGACACTTAACAATTAGTTGCGGTGATGGTTGTCTGATATTTGTATGCATAATTTCCAGGAAATATGCTACAATAACAGTAAATGCTACTTTTGAAATGAACATGAAGTGGCATTTGCAACGCATTTACTGTCATAATGTAAAACAAAAGAAAAAGTGGGACTTTATTGTGTCCATCAGAGAAAAGATTCCCAGACTGGCCCGTGATGACCTTTAATTTGGCCCATCATTTCCACTTTCTTGTGGGGGAAAATAGAGGGGAAACACACCATTGAAGCATATCTTCATTTCTAACGTATCTTTTTGTGTTAACATTTTTGTTTTGTTTTAACATTTAATTTGATTCAATTCTAATATAGTTGAATATAATACAACATTTACTTTCAGCCCATAGCCCTCAGTCAAGTTAGACTTTTGGCACTTGGCAGTAAAAAGTTTAAAAATAAAAAAGTAAACATATTTCTTACATCCCTGATAGCACACGTACATCACAGAGACGTCTGTTTGACATCTGCAAGACGTATTTTTGTATTTTGTATGTTTGCTCATCTGCGATATGTCTATAGGACGTTTCCTATCAGAAGTCAAATAGACGTTTAGAAAATGTCTTTAAGATGTTTATGATTTAGAATTAATGTAAAACTGACATCTTAGAGACGTCTATCAGATGTTTAGATGCTTTCCAGATGAAGCGATCTTTAACAGACATCTTGCAGACGTACATCCCTGTCTTTCTGGGATCATAAGACATGTTCAATCCATACAACAACCAACCAATCAGGGTTGTAAACTCTACTAAGCTCTACTATTACTATCTAACTGATCTTAAAAACAAATATAGCTTATTACAGTTAATATTAACTCCTTGAAGCATTTTGAAAACAGACCCTACAACACGTTTAATTGTGGAGACTAGCTAATACTTACAGCCTTCAAAATACGATGTCTTGTAAATGTACTTACATAAAACACTTGGAAATGTTGTAGAACTCACTGGAACCACAGACAAACTACTGTCAACTCAACCAGCGCTAACCGCTAACTAGGCTACTAATGGACTTTTTCTGGTAACCCCCCTACTGGTTAAAACTAAACACACACTTGAACGTGAACTATTCACATTCAGTTATTATTTATTTTTTTCGCGTACATACGCTCGACGCATGCGCACAAGAAATAGGTTATTATAAAAAAATATTAGCGATATGCTAACCCTGATCTCTGTTGAAAAAACCAGCATATGCTGGTTAGGTATGTTTTGACGCTGGGATGCTGGTTTAAGCTGGTCCTTTGCTGGTTTATGCTGGTCCTTTGCTGGTTTATGCTGGTCCTTTGCTGGTTTATGCTGGTCCTTTGCTGGTTTATGCTGGTCCTTTGCCAGCACATGACCAGCATAAACCAGCAAAAGAACCAGCATAAACCAGCAAAAGGACCAGCATAAACCAGCAAAAGGACCAGCATAAACCAGCAAAGGAACAGCATAAACCAGCAAAGGACCAGCATAAACCAGCAAAGGAACAGCATAAACCAGCAAAGGACCAGTTTAAACCAGCAAAGGACCAGCATAAACCAGCAAAGGACCAGCATAAACCAGCAAAGGACCAGCATAAACCAGCAAAAGGACCAGCATAAACCAGCAAAAGGACCAGCATAAACCAGCAAAAGGACCAGCATAAACCAGCAAAAGGACCAGCATAAACCAGCAAAAGGACCAGCATAAACCAGCAAAAGGACCAGCATAAACCAGCAAAGGACCAGCATAAACCAGCAAAAGGACCAGCATAAACCAGCAAAGGACCAGCATAAACCAGCAAAGGACCAGCATAAACCAGCAAAGGACCAGCATAAACCAGCAAAGGACCAGCATAAACCAGCAAAGGACCAGCAAAAGGACCAGCATAAACCAGCAAAGGACCAGCAAAAGGACCAGCATAAACCAGCAAAGGACCAGCAAAAGGACCAGCATAAACCAGCAAAGGACCAGCAAAAGGACCAGCATAAAACGTTTCTGAAAAGCTAACTACTGAAAATCTTTAATTTGAGATGCTAATTAGGAAATTAGTCAGGGATCACTGACAAACAGATTTTTATTTTATTTTTTATTTCATCTTATTTTTTGAGAAATACACAGAATAATTTAGTCATAAATTACAGTAAGAGTCTTCAAGCAGTCAGAAAGCAAAGTGCATAAGACATTTCCACACGGAAACAGATTTCGTTTTAATTGAAAAATAAATATCCCAGCCATTACTGTAAACTTGAGAACAGTTTCACAATAAAAAAAAATATTCTAAATGTCAGTGCGGTGGAGTAGAAAAGTAAAAAAGTCAGTACTGTACACATGAACAGACAGATGTGGACATCACATAGCAGGTTGGCGTACAGTAATGCGACGGTAAACATGCATTTTGGGGAATGACCAGCAAAATCATGTAACTGTATTTGATTTCTATGAATTATGGTTCTTTAGCTCGTCTGAGAACTGGCTTTAAAAAATAAAGCTTCAAATAAATCGGCTTCTAGAAGCTAATGAAATGTGCCAGCGTAAGACCATTTCAACATCATATTCTTAAATGAACATAGACAACAGTCATCAAAACTGTCTTGGTTATTGTATCAACCATACAACTGGCCCAAATCAGCATATTTACTTCAGTTCAGTCATTGAAAAAGTTCTGAACTTTAAAATACCCTCTCCTTGGAATAAAGTGCCACAATCTGAGAAATACGGGAGATTGTGAAGTATACAGAGCAATTTTAGCCATGAAACTTTGAATCTTTTAATAAGCACCATTATAAATCCCTCTTCCGGCAACATAAACCTGAAATAAATTTGCACCCAAATGAAAACAAGCCCACTGCATCTTCAGGACACCGGGGAAATGATGTGCTCTTCCAAATGAATCACTGGGGAAAGGAAGGGAGCGTTCTTAAAAGCTTGTTCAAATGTGCCAGGACAGTCCAGCATTGCTTCGTGAAAGCGTCGGTCGGGGCCTGCTTCAATACGGAAGTGAAGCCGCTTTAGAGACACAACGCTCAGCTGGACAATTGTCCCTATATCTCTGGGTGCTGAAGCACTTCCGCTTGACAGAATGGCGAAAATCTCCTGAGTGTTTCGTCGTCACGTCTCAGACGCTCTGAAGTTGTGAATGGCAGTCGCTAGTTAGAAATACAGGAATTTCATTGGTTATTCTTGGCGTTAATGGTACATGACATCAGTTGAGTACGAAAGGAACAGTTCACCCAAAAATCAACCAAATTAATTACTTTTAATTACAAATTTGAATGTTCTAGTGGCTATTTTCCATGCAAAATCAATGTCAAGATTTTCAGTGAGTTCAATTTCATTCTGCATCTCACACAAAGTTATCAGATGACTTCAGAAGATGTGGAATATAGTGCATATAGAATACAGTTTTGTTATTTTATTACATCAAGTTAAACTAAATGAAATTGAGAAATATTGCCTTGTCAGCTAGCTTAAATTAAATGTTTTGATTTTATTTACAATTATATATTTTTATCTTATTTAATGTCTATTTTATGTATTTATTTTTTTCATTGTTCATTGTAATTGCCTGGAAAACAGCCACTCATTCATTCGCTATATTTCTCGTACAGATTTGAAAGAAGATGTGAGTAAATGTAAAAACATTTTTGGGTGAACTACTGCTTTGGTGATATGAGAACGTAGTGAGAAGATACCTACGCTAAAGGAACGTCAGCTCCCTCAACTCGATCCTCTGTGGAAGAGAGACATGAAAAAACATGTTCAGATGTCTAATGGAGATTTGAAGGGTTACTAATAACTCATGTAGTTTGATGTCTCCTGATAAATCAGTTTGTGTGTTCTTGTGTACCTGAGGTTGGTGGTCTTCCAAAGTAGCACTTCATCACCACAACAAAAATAAGTAACAGGACAAACACAACCACAAAAGCAATAGCTGCGATCACTCGAAGTGGGAAAGATTCTGTTTGACCTGCAAGAAGACAACAAAAAAGTCGAAAAGTTTAAAAAACAGTGTAAAAAATGTCAAAATAAATCAAATAGATTTGAATAAATTTATAAATAGATTCAAATAAATAATAAAAATGTGATTCGGATACTTAACAATTTGATTAAAATAAATAAGAAATAAATTAGATGAAAATAAATTAAAACAGAAAATTGTTTAAAATAAATAACTAAAAAAAAATGAGATGCATATGAATAAATAGAAAAACTGATTCAAAATAAGTAATGTTAAGTAAACAATTAAAAAATGATAATAATACATCTAACAGTACAGTACTATGGTGAGTAGGAAAAAAATTATATTTATTCTCCAAATATTATTTTTAATTGGTATAGTATATATTAAACTAATTAAATTCTAATACTAAAATTAGTATAAACTGGGTCTTTTAAGCATGAAAATTTATAGATGACTTTTGAATTTTAGGATAGGGGTCCCTCGCATGAGGATGACCCCTGGAACAGTTCACCCAAAAATTAACATCAGATCCAGCCAGATCCTGTCAGATAATATCCGTTTTGTCTTGTAACAGAACAACTAGTCAGCAAAGTTGTCTGGTACTCAAAACTATAATAACAGTCTTCTATCAGAGTTTATTGAATAGTCTTAATTGCGTATGTTTCAATGCTCAGACTTCGTCTGAAAAACACAAATCCAACAAGTGTTATTATACCACAATCAATAGCAATGGAAAATTACTGCTTCACAACAACATCCCATAAACCTTGAATTCCCATAAACATTCCCTCTTATCTCTTATTCATGAAGAGAAATAGCCCTTGAAACCACACATCATAAGACTAAACAACAATGGGGGGGGGGGGGAAAATATAAATGAAATGAGTATTTAAATGATTATAAATGATTGTATGATTAAATGGAATAATAAAAAAGGTGGACTCAACACACACAGGCTGCTACAAAGAATCCGTAGATCCTTCACACATCTTTTGGGTGAGTTATAATAAAGCAATAAGCCCCAAGAAGCGGTGGTTTACAGTGAATTTATAACAGCTAAGGGGCGTTGTTAGGCACGACGAGAAGCGGAGTTATAAAACGGTTATTCCATATACGTAGTAAGGTTTCACAAAATAAAACAGAGCAAATAAAGTGTAATGATATTAATAAAAACAGTATTCTTCCACCAAACAATGTAGTTCCTCAGAAACAGTTGTGGTTGCAACAGACAAACGTAAACAAAGGTGTATGTTACTTTGTAGAGTCATTTACAACAGCTTCAAACGCGGCTCAGCCAATCAGAATCAAGCACCGGAACTACCCGCTTTATAATAACAGATGTTTTTAGCAGGTCCGAGCTATAATGGTGGAGCTCTATTCTGGAAAAGGGGGCGGGGAGCAGCAGCTCATTTGCATTTAAAGAGACAGGCCCGAAAAACAGTGTTTCTGCTTCCACTCAAAATAGGCATTTTCAAAATGATATAATACATTATCTGTGGAGTATTTTGAGCTGAAACTTCACAGACACATTCTGGGGACACCAGAGACTTATATTACATATTGTAAATAGGGGCATAATATGTCTCCTTTAACATCCAACACACTTACATATGGTGATGGTGTGGGAAACAGCGCCCCCTACGGCACAGCTGACATTGGCTGGCTGGTCGCAGTTGTACATGATGGTTTGGTTGATGGTCCATGTTTTGGAGTCGTTATGTGCTAAACTCCAGTTGTAAAATACATTCGTCAGACTTGGATTAAGCCCCGCCCATCTGACGGTGCTCTGTGGGTATCCTCCCACCGCCGAGCAGCTTAAGTGACAGCTCATCCCCGTGCCGCTGACGCCGCGTCTATGTTCACTGCAGTCAGGTGTGATTGTGGGGACGCTGTACTCGGCTGTAAAAAGAAGAGAACAGTGGAATAAGTGACATTTTAGAGATCCGGAGAGGTTCCCCCCCTGCAACGTTTCACTTCCCCAAAACCCACGTCAATGCAACCATCCCAGAATCCTTAGTCAGCAGTGAGTTTCCAATGCGAACAAGCATGCGCTCCCC